AGGATTGGGGGAGAGGGAAGGAAGGAAGGAAGGAAGAAAAGAAATAGGGAAGGAAGGCAGGATTAGAGATGGAGTGAAGGAAGGATTGGGGGAGAGGGAAGGAAGGAAGGAAGGAAGAAAAGAAATAGGGAAGGAAGGCAGGATTAGAGATGGAGTGAAGGAAGGATTGGGGGAGAGGGAAGGAAGGAAGGAAGGGAAGAAAGAAATAAAGAAGAAAGGAAGGACTAGAGATGGAGTGAAGGAAGGATTGGGGGAGAGGGAAGGAAGGAAGGAAGGAAGAAAAGAAATAAAGAAGAAAGGAAGGACTAGAGATGGAGTGAAGGAAGGATTGGGGGAGAGGGAAGGACGGAAGGAAGGAAAGAAAGAAATAGGGAAGAAGAAAGGAAGGACTAGAGATGGAGTGAAGGAAGGATTGGGGGAGAGGGAAGGAAGGAAGGAAGGAAGAATAGCAGAATAACAGAATTGGAAGGGACCTTGGAGGTCCAACCCCCCTATCGCATGTCAGGGCTGTCCCATCTCTTGCCTCCAACTCAGGGATGGACTAAATGACCTCCAAGGATCCCCCCTCTCCTTATTCCATCCCCTCTCCCCCCCCCCCACCAATACTTACGCTCTCACTAGAAATCCTCAGGAGCCTGAATGGAAGCGGAGAGGATCATCCCGGATTAAAGAGGCGTTCCTTCGGGATTTGGAAACACTGTCGGCCCCCCCTTCCCAAAATCAGCTGTGTGGTCAATCGAAGGAGAAATGAGGAGGGGGTCTTCGTCAAAGTCTAAAGTGCCAAGCGGTCGGTCAGCATCTTCGCAGCGGGGGGTAACAGTGGGGTGGAGGGATCCCTCCGCCGGCGCTCCCTAACCGGCCCGAGTCTTTGAGGAGGAACGCGATCCAAATTCCCGGCAGTCAGAGCCAGAGAAAGGGCACCACCAGGAGAGCCAGGCAGGCGACGCTAAGCCGGATCGGGGCAGGGCTGTGTGCCCGAATGACCTCTGCTTCTGGGGAGAGAAGAGAGAGAAAGGAAGAGGCTGAATGGAGAAATAGTAACGCGCGCACACACAAATTGAGAATTGCATTTTGGGCCGTCCCCGATTTACGACAATTGACGGCCGGACGCTTACAACGGCAACGGAATGAGGGACGTTTTCCCACGCTTCCGGGCGTTGCAGCGAAATTAGTTATAAACACGATTACATATCCCTGTGTGGTTTTGTTTTCTGCATTTAAATCCCGGACGATCCCCCACTACCCCGGGCAAAAAAACCCAAAACAACTTACTCTCCGGACCTCCTCTCCCTCGGGGCTGAGATTTGGGGGCCTCCGTCATGGGGTCTGCGGCTAGGAAGGAAACAGGTACAAGGCAGTGATCGCTCGGTGGTCTCCTTTCCCTCGGTCCTCGCGCAGAAGAAATGCACATCAATCATCCCCAGAGGGACAAATTCCACGTTTCTAAGCCTAAAAAAGAATCCTCATCCACCCTGTCTGAGGGGATTAAACCACAGCTCCCATCATCCCCAGGCAGCCAGGGTGTTTAGGGAAGCTGCAAACGTGGTCCTCGGCTTACGACGACCCCTCCAAGTTACAACGGTGCTGGGAAAAAACGACTTACGACTGGCCTTTCCGCTTAGAACTCCTAAAACATCCCAGGGTTGTACGATCCCTGTTGGTGATATTCCTAGCCAGCTTCCAACAAGCCAGATCAAGCTGGACTCCCTTAACGACTGCATAGTTCACTTAACAACTGCGGCGATTTACTTAACCACCATAGCAGGAAAAAAAGTCGTAAAACTGTGTGCGACTTCCTGAACGACCGCCTCGCTTAGTGATGGGAAAACTCCAGATCTTTTCACACACACACAAAAAAACCCATCCTGGTTTGTTTTCACAAAACCAGCAATCATGGATACCCACAAACCTGGGTGGACGGGCTAAACTTACTGGTCGCGGCTTTGCAGCAGACCAAAACGCGTAGCTTCAAACACTGGCCAGGACTCTCCGGGGCAGGGATAGCTGTCGGAAGGGAAACAAACCAAGAATGGTGGTTTAGAAGATCAAACGGCCAAGTTGCACCAAGCAAAATCAATAGCAATAGCAGTTAGACTTATATACCGCTTCATAGGGCTTTCAGCCCTCTCTAAGCGGTTTACAGAGTCAGCATATNATATGCTGACTCTGTAAACCGCTTAGAGAGGGCTGAAAGCCCTATGAAGCGGTATATAAGTCTAACTGCTATTGCTATTGCTAATCGTGGCTTAGAAGGGTCGTGAAACAGGGCAAAAAAACCCCAAACCAAATATACATTTGCCTATTTGTCTATAGACAAATAGACACTTAGCTGGGCTCGATCACAGTCGTTACGTCCAGGATATATATCCCACCCACCAAACTATTTTCTCTTTCTCCAGCCCCCCCGGTTTGCAAGAAGCAAAGTTGCGGGGGCCAAATCCACCAGAGAAATAAATATCTGTCCAGCCATCATCATCATCATCATAATAAAAGAATTCATGTTTGCATTTAAAGAAAAACCAGGTGCGATGAACGAAGGGCAGCTGGGCGAGAGGGAGGCGAATGGATTTTCTCCGCGCGTCCTTAATATGTATAGATATTTTCGCCCCCAAATTTCTCCCGGCTATCGTTCTCAAAAAGACCGTCCTTTGCTGACAACGCCTCTCTCTCTCTCTCCCTCCCTCTCTCTCTCTCCTTCCCCCCTTCCCTCCTTTCGTATCGACTTCTGACATTTTCATGGCTCCCTGATTTGATTTCGACAGATTAACCAATTTGTTTTGTAATTTTCTGCTTTCTTCCTTGCCATTCGGCTGGCCTTTGCCACGGGCCCCGGCAGACGACGGCGGGCATTTCGCGAATGAGCTCCATTTATTTATTTTGTCTTTGTTTTTAAACTGTTGGCTTTTATGTCGGGGCGCCGAAAGGTTACGCCGAATCAGCGGGGCAATGATAGCGCGCGCACATTTTACAGGAGGGTGTGCTTAGTAAACCACTGGCTCAGCGATGGTTTCAGGTTACGGCGGTGCTGAAACGGCCAATCAATAGATCGTTCCCGGGGTTGGAAGGGGCCCTGGAGGTCCTCTAGTCCAACCCCCTGCGGGAGACCATTTCAGACAAAGTGCTGCCCAATCTCTTCTTTAAAAAGCCTCCAGTGATGGGGAAGTAAGGAAAGAAGGAAGGGTTAGAGATGGAGTGAAAGAAGGATTGGGGGAGAGGGAAGGAAGGAAGGAAGGAGAGAAATAGGGAAGGAAGCAAGGATTAGAGATGGTGTGAAGGAAGGATTGGGGGAGAGGGAAGGAAGGAAGGAGAGAAATAGGGAAGGAAGGAAGGATGAGAGGGGGAGTGAAGGAAGGATTGGGGGAGAGGGAAGGAAGGAAGGAGAGAAATAGGGAAGGAAGGAAGGATTAGAGGGGGAGTGAAGGAAGGATTGGGGGAGAGGGAAGGAAGGAAGGAGAGAAATAGGGAAGGAAGGAAGGATTGGGGGGGGAGTGAAGGAAGGATTGGGGGAGAGGGAAGGAAGGAAGGAGAGAAATAGGGAAGGAAGGAAGGATTAGAGGGGGAGTGAAGGAAGGATTGGGGGAGAGGGAAGGAAGGAAGGAGAGAAATAGGGAAGGAAGGAAGGATTGGGGGGGGAGTGAAGGAAGGATTGGGGGAGAGGGAAGGAAGGAAGGAGAGAAATAGGGAAGG